AGAGATGCTACTGTGTGCAAGAAAATACATGTAATAGGCAAGGCAACAATCCTAGTACCTTTGAAACTAAAACTGAAACTGACAGTTTCTACATTGACTTGTACCCTTGAAACTGGAACTGACATTGAGATTTGCTGGGGTGTAATATGCAGTAATTTAGTGGCCACAACTTCACAATGGAAAGTTCAAACAACAGGTGATTGTCTCCCTGCGGTATGCTTTTGTTTTTATTACATACGATTCTGAACATTCAGTGAACAACAACACTAAATGAAAGTTAGTTTCTTTCCCGTTAAATTGTTTTAGCATTGAACAACATGAGTTGGTTACCAGCACCTGCTTGAGCAGTCAAACATACGTGACAGTGCTGCTGAATGCATAGTTTTTTGAACTTTTCATGATGCTGATGTGTGCTCATAAATTTATGTGAAAATGATGATGGCACCTTTCTAGTTTTGAAGATATGGAATATTTCATTGATCATATCTGTAGCATGTATATGGAAAGACATAGTTTTTAAAATAGACAATCAAACAAATCTAGTAAAATTTTGTCAATTTATGTGGTGTTCTATGCTCGTTTCTGTGTTTGCATAACTGAGGAATTGAAAAAGGGGTTTCAACTTGAAGAAAATTTATTAGATTAATCTGGTGTTTATTGGGTGCAGGTGATCTTTGAGACATCAAGATTAGCTACAATTGTTAATGGGGTTTTAAGGAAGACTACGCAAGACATCAAGATTAGCTACAATTGTTAATGGGGTTTCAAATGACAATGAAGGATGGATGGGGGCTTTCCTTTGGATTCTTATTTTCTCTTCTTTTTTCTTTTTTTCCTTTGATCTGATTGGGGAGTTGGTGTTTTGGTTCACATTCTTCTTATTTTTTGTGTTAAATCGGGGGGGGGGGGGGGGGGGAGAGAGATGAGAGTAATATTATTTGTGGCTTTGTATACAAAGTAGTAATTAATTTTTTGGTTGAGAATTATGAATACAATTTTTGGATATGTTATTTTGGGGGTAATATTAAAATATCATTTGTGGATATGTTATTTTGTGGGTAATGGTGATTGGTGAATGGGAAAGTGAATTAATGATGCATTTGCTATTTAAATGTAGTTATTATTTCATGTTAGTGTTATTCATTTTTATTATATGTATTTTTTTAGTTTAATCACATAAATTAGCACAATTTCAAAAAAAAAAAAAAAAGAGATATCACGGGCGTTTTTTTAAAAACGCCACTAAAACCCAAAATATTAACGGTTCATTTTTTTAAAAAGATATGACGGCGTTTAAAAAATGTCGCTAAATATCATAATGGTGTCATGGTGGTGTCAAGTAAGACATTTAGCGGCGTTTTTAAAAACGCCGTCTATACTAATATAACGACGTTTTTAAAACGTCATGAAGTTATAGCGACGGCCGCGTCCTCGACGCTTAATGCTAAGCGTCGCAAAAAGATTTAGCGGCGTTTTTGACACTTTAGCGGCGTTTTTTAAACGCCGCTAAAAGCTGAATTTCCTGCAGTGATAAGAGAAATTACAGAACATCATCACTTGCATCGAAACCAATCAACGCCAGACCATTTTTCACATATTTGGAGCTGACTAGGCCAACAACCCATTTCAATGGTAGTAAATACATACTAATTGGCTAACAATGCCTGTGATTGCTTCTCATAGCTAAATCCTAATCCTTTTGCCTTGGACTCATCAGCACACCAAACAAAAATCCCATGAAGTTCTTCTGCTGATTCTTGAGCCTATTGCAAGCGGAAAAAAAACCATTTTCCGGTGACAACCCACGCTTCCATCACTGATGAAGCTCACCAAGACCTTCCTCCATTGTAATTAGAGCTCTGAGTCTGAAAATAGGCCATAAACTGAGAAACATTGGTACTCTGATCATAAGCATAAAATTGGAAATTGACAGTCAATGAGATTGCCATAGCTCTTCCACAAGGCCAAGTAATGACTCTGAACTTGATCATCATCAAATGGAGCTATAGAAGCAAAAGAGATGAGTCCATTTTCTTTCATTTTGGTTATAAGCTGTCCAATGCACTCTGCAAAGGTGTTTGGATCGGTGTTGTTGAATAGTGTTCATAGTCGATGTCAATGCATCTAAGTTGTACTGTTTGATGATTTAACTGCTGCTTGCAGGCACCAGGAGCTTCTGAGGCATGTGAGTGACTTTTCTGGCTAAAACTGCAATACTTGGCTTAATCCATTTACTTGGGCTGAAACTTACATGCAATCTATGATGTCATCTTTTTTGCTACTTTGTCTTTTATAGGGCAGAAGCTATAAAGAAAGCAAATGGTGTTCTTTTTTCCGATGAGGTTGTTTTATATTTCTAGTATCTTAGCATCACATTTATATTGTTCGTTTTCTTTCTGTTGTCGCAATCTAGATTGTACTGCATTCTACCTCCCACCTCTGCATGTTCAATTTGTATCAGCTCACAATTTCTTTGTTCACTGATACATTGATGTTAAATTGTTTATAGAAGCTGTGTAATAGCTTGTTCAATTGCTTATGGCTCTGGACTACTTACATGTGAATCATATTCTTCATCGAGATGTTAAGGTAAGTTGCATCTATCTGTATTAAGAGGATTTATGAATTATCCTTCTGAAATTTCTGAAATTGCATGTTACTGACAGTCTTGTTCTTGCGGTGTTCAAATATATTCTTGGCAAAAGATCAAGACATACGTCTTGGTAAGTGATATGTTTTCTTTCTTTAATAGTCTTGAGAGGTGTCAGTATTTTGCTGAATCACCATTGATTAATCCTGTTGCAGGTGATTTTGGACTTGCTAAGATGTTGCCATCAGATGATCTTGCATCCTCTGTAAGTCTTGTGGTTAACTGGTTCATTTTTCAAGTTTCAACATTTGCATTAGTTTTATTGTTCAAGATTTCTTTTTCGTAACTCAGGTTGTAGGAACTCCAAGTTATATGTGCCCTGAGCTTCTTGCTGACATACCTTATGGCTCTAAGTCAGACATTTGGTCCTTGGGTAAGTGTATACACACAATGTCACATAAATACATATATAAGTTATAATGCAATCATGAATGCAAGTTGCAACTTGGCATATTTTTGATGCCTATGAAAATTTAGATTTTTCCTCGTGAGGAATTGTGTTCTTATTTGTATATTGTGGCCTTTAATTAGTGTCTTAATCTAATCCTTGCTCTATTTTTGTTTTCCAGTCAGGCCCTCATCAAAAGCATGCTGCGGAGAAAACCCAGAACTTCGCCCGAGTTTATTTCCTGTTCTTTATTCTTTTTTTAACACTTTCCGAAAATGTTTACGTAGGAGAAACATTAATATAAGCATGCGAATGATTTGCCATTGCCTTAGATAATCTAAATGATTCCTAATTCATTAATTAGGACTCAGCTAGTTGTGGTTGTTCTAGCTAATATATTGCCATTCATAGTCATCGGCATAAGCTTTTCTAGTAAGTTTCTCTAATAATTTTAAATCCCTGTAATGTATCTTCCAAAATTCGAAGCCAAGACATTTTTAAGGTACTTATTGGTTTTATGTTTCAATTGGATTTAACTTTTGTGGCTTTGTATATAAGGTAGTAATTTTTTGATTGAGAATTGTAATTCAATTTTTGGATATGTTATTTTGTGGAAAAATTAATGCATATTAAATTGAATCGGAAAGTGAATTAATACTATATTTGTTATTTGAATGGGAGTTATTATTTCATATTAGTGTTATTTAGTTTATTATTGGTGTTCTTTTAGTTCAATCACATAAAATTAGCACAATTTCAAAACAAAAAAAAAAAGAAAGATAAGACGGCGTTTTTAAATGCCACTATAACGGTTGGAATTTTTAAAATTAAAAAACCTATGAAGGCGTTTTAAAACGTCGCTAAAAGCATACTGACGTCACAGTATTGTTAAGGCAGGGCATTTGGCGGCGTTTTTAAAACGCCGTCTATACTAATACAGCGACGTTTCCAAACGCCATAAAGTTATAGCGACGGCCGCGTCATCGGCGTTTGGTATTAAACGTCACAAAAAGTATTGGCGACGTTTTTGGTACCTATAGCGGCGTTTTTTAAACGCCGCTAAAAGCCTAATTTCCAGCAGTGTGCCAAGGGATATGTAAAGAAGCATATTTTGAACATTTTATTATATCTTATACTGTAATAGTCTAACATAAAATGTTATTATATTTAGGAATGTAATTCAAATTGAATAAGTTTTAAGGTTAAACTGCCACTCTCTTTTTGAAATTTTTTATCTTCTTTGTTCCAATTTTTTTAAAATTGAGTTTTTTTGTTTTTCATATTTTAATAATTTTTTTAATATTATAAAATATATATGTTTTTTACTTTTTACATACATTTAACATAAATACAATTGAAAAATATGATATTTATGAAAAAATCTTTAAAAAATTCATTCAATACCAAAAATAAAAAAAATAAAAATCAATATATTTTCATATTCTTATGTATTTATTAATTTTTTAATATTTTTTTATAAATATTTTTTTTTTTAGGTGCATCTATTTATTTAATATTAAAAAAATTCTTTAAAAAATACAAAAATAAAAAACTCAATTTTAAAAAATTGAATTTAAAAAATTAAAACCAAACAAGTTTATTAAAATAAATTCATATTAGATCAAGTCTAATATAAAGATTTTCAAAATTTATGCCCCTCGGTTATTAAATTGGGAGGTAGTTTCTTTTCCGTCCGTAATTTGGATTGGAAATCATTGTTTGAGACTATGGATCCTATTCATTTTGTTAAGTACTTCATGTACATCATCCACACAAAACAATTAGATCGATTCGATAATTATTTTTTCGCTTTGTAATAAATAAATAAAAAGAAAAACAATGATCTATTTTAAAAACATAATTGTTGTCCATTTTTTGTTGACAAATACGATAAATTAAATAAGTTATAATTATCGGATCAACTTAATTATCATTTTTTAAATGATAATTACAAATAACCCGATAAAATAAACCATTCGACTGATTAACCGATACACTTGATGCACTTCACAATGTCGAATAGTTCCATGCAATCCATGTGAACCAGGGACAATTTATCTCCTTTAAATTTTGAGAGGTGACACACTTTATGCGTTTTTTTCTCATGCCTCAAACTTATCCCAAATCTTTCCATGAGCCGTCTTGCTTGTCCTTATTAATCCACCAACTCGATCAATGCTCATACACCTGTTACTCTAATATCAATTAAAAATGTTAGAAACAGTAGCATTTACTAAATTTTTACCACTTGGTCTCTCGAGTAGGTTGTACTATTTGCAAAAATACTGATGGGTTAGATGTGCGCTCGAGCCAACCCTTGATTGCTCGAGCAACTGGCAAACATACAGTAAGTTTGCTCGAGCCCCTAATTGGTCGCTTGAATAGTCTGTAGAGATTGTAAAGTTTTAAAAGCTCGCAAAGTTTGCTCGATCCACCATTTTTGTCGTTCGAGCGATCTATGAAAAATCTGGATTTCAAAACTGAAAGTTTGAACTCCCAAATACCATTTCAAAATTTGGAGTCATGCATGGCTTATTTAAAAATATGAAAATGCTTTGGAAAATTCCGATACATGGCCATTTATATAAACCATTTGCTCAAAATCTAATCAATTTACCAAAATTTAATTTAAATCATCATGAATGCAAAGAATTTCCAATTCTTTTCTCTTGATTTTAAAGTATGAAATTAATCATGTAGTCCATGAACTTTTCTGAAATCATGTGCAACTTAAAAATTTGCATGCGTGCAAGAATTCAAAATCCAAACCCAGAATGATGAAATCAAAAATTAACTTTCATGAATATGCATGTAGCTCTATTTCCTACTCAAAACCCAATTTCTTCATCATATTGTTAAAACCTTGCAATTTCATGAATATGATTCCAAAACTCTCTTAATCTCAAGTATAGTATGGTGATTCCACATAAATTGAATATAAATTTCATACCTTAAGTTTTAATTCATAAAGTAGAAGTGATTTCTCTCCAATTCCTCTTGTTCTTCCTTCAATTCCCAACACAATGTGGGTTTCTCTCTCTACACTCTTGAGCTCTCAAATCCACTCTCTTTCTAAACTTTTTCCAGCATAAATGAAGGACTGAAGAATGAGCTCCCCCTTTTTCTTTTTTATTTTTTTTAGCAACCCTCTCTTCTTCTTGACTCGCATATATAACACACACCTCACTTCTTAATAATGTCCCATGTGTGTGCACACACTTGCACATCTTCTTTGAGCTCCAGCACAACAATGACATGCACACATACACACTAAAATACTTCCAGCACACCACACTTAATTGGGATTAGATTTGCACTAATTATGTATTATCTCAATTGAATCACACTTAATTAATTTTGACTAGCACGCAACTTAATTAATCAAAATTTCCCGATAACTCAATTAGTCTTACTAACCTCAATTAAGGCCTAATTAAGTATATTTAGTTTTACCAATTTGAATAAGATTTTTAATCAAACTCCCAAAAGCTTCCAAATATCAAATTAAATTTATTGACATTATCAATTTTGGTTTCTTAATTCATTAAAGCCTTCAATTTCAAATCAGACTCAAAATTTCTCTCAATAAATTACATATACAAATTAGACATCTCACAAGTAAATTCAATTCAAAATAATCACAATTTTCAATTCTCATAACTTAATTAATTTAAGGGGCTGGATTTCTTCTAATTCGTGATTGGACTGGAGGATACTGTTGGGCGCATGGGGGCCTACCACAAGTCTCATTTTTCAATAATCTGAACAGTTCAATGTGTAGAAATCGTCGAGTATTATATGCCTGTAAAAAATTACATTGATTGGATATTGATAATTATGTGATGAAATTTGTTTTGTGTAAAAACAAATAGACGGTGAAAAAATAAACAGTTGACAGAAATCTGATTCGATGAGATATCTATTGATATCCGATTAACGTGATCGTTTATAAGCATATAGTACTTGACGAGGTCTACATATTGAATGGTTTGTACTATCGAAACGGAACCCGTAATGGGTCTCCACGGGCCCAACAGTACCTTCCAGTTTGTGATTGGAGGGAAGCCCAGCCCTTAATTTAATTAACTCGAATTAGGACTCAATTAATCACATCTTAATTTTACTAAACTGAATCGAACATTTAATTAAACTCCTATATGGTTCAATACTTAAAATTAAACTGATTCAACTCACCAATTATACTTTTTTAAGCCATTTAAGCCTTTAATTTCTAACTCCGAAATAAATCTTTAACAAAATCATGTAAGAATCAGATTCAATAATGCTCATCAATTTCACAATTAAATCAGAATAATAGGGAATTAAAATTCAAATCTCTTTAATTAATTAAATGTAAAATATTATACGTGGTGGGATTGTCATATTATTGTCCAAGCCCGTAAAGCCCATCACAAATTACGTTTTAATAATTTAAATTGTTCATTTTATAAGGTCATTCGTGTATATTATTCATAATAAAAATTATGTCAATTCAATAGTTGTAGCCACGGATTTCGTTTCGATAATCCAAATCGTTCATATCGTAGGATTCTTCATGTATATCATCCATAAAAACAATTAAGTCGATCTGATAATCGTAGTCACAGATTCCGTTTCGATAATCTAAACCGTTTACTTTGTAAAGTCCTTTATGGATATCATCTATATTAAAAAAGAAAAAGAAAAAAAAAGGTTGATTCTATAATTTGACCCTATTCAATTTTCCATATTTGTCTTTCAAAAAAATTGAGAAAGTGTGTTTTTTAAAATAAACTAATTATTTTTTTAGTAGCAAACACAATAAATTGGACATGTTATAATTATTTAATCGATCAAGTTTTTTTTTATATAGATAATATGCACAAAAAATCCTACAAAATGAACTATTCACATCATTGAAATAGAACTCATGATGAGTTCCATGAACTCGAACAGCACTTTTCAATCTAGATCTAAATTGAAGGGAAGCACAGCCCTAATTTTATGAGTAATGTCATGACTCCAAAAAAGATGGTCAAATATTGTATACGTGACTCATATGGGTGCAAGGACATACTAATGTGAATATTGTTTAAAATATTTGATAAGTGATTTGGAATCTCTGACATTTTTATAACTATATTATTTAGATCCTCAGTAATTCCGATTCACGAAATCTATTATTAGATAAATTTTGCGTTTTCATTTTTTAAAATCCCTTTAGTTCCCTGTTTGAAATTTGCAGTCATTCAACTAAAGCTATGTTACATTACATCACAAACAATAGGATAGAATGACCATTCCTTAATTTTTCTCATGAAATAATTATTTTTTAAAAATGATAAAAGATTATTTTA